TATCCTTGAGAAGTCAAATGAATGGTTACGCAGAACAGACTGATCAGAAATCCCATGTCGGGAGAAGAACTTGGCATGGAACGAGGTTGTAGGTGAGAAGGTTTGGATTTGGCATTAGAAGTTCCAGTTCTTCTACTTTCTGTCTGATATTGGGCAATACACTCAATCTCTCTATGCCTCAATTTCCTTTTCCTAAAAATAAGGTTAACTTTGAAGTCTTGACTATTTCACAGGGTTCTTACAAGGTTTAGAAAATATATTTGTGTGTAAGTGACACATACACTACAAAGCGCTTTGTAACTATGAAGAAAATCAAATAAAGTTCTTTTGTGGGGACCAGCATAATGGCTATATCGCTGAACTCCCATGTAGCCGACTGCGGTTGGAGTCCCGGACCTGGTGGCTTAAACTCACGCTGGGTGCGTGTGTGTGCGTGCCCAAGATCCTGAGAGGAGAATGGAGGAGAAGGGATTGTGGTGTGGCCATCCTCTCTTGGGGGGCGGGGGTGATTTCTCGCTTTCTGTCTCTCTGTCTCTCTCTCTCTTTCTGGCGAGTGCACGTGCCCTATAGCAAAAACCTCTCCAATAAATAAATAAATATAAATAAATAAATAAATAAATAAAGTTTTAATGTTTCAACTTGAATCCTTAGAGAGCAAGACCCAAAGAATTTCCTAGACTTAAGGTAGGGAGAACTTTAAAGTGGCCCTCTTCTTATTGGGCACAAGTATCTAATCTTTTTGTATCTATATACTTCTGGTGTTTAAAATGGTGAAGAGGGATGGAGGGCATGGAGAATTGTTAGTGAATTGTTAGCAAGAAACTAAATTTGTTCAGTTGACCAAGCCAAGTACCACCATAGGGTTTAGAACCCTCATCAAGAGCTGAGAGAGGCAGAGAAAGTGATCTAATAGAGGCTAGAGAAATACGAAGCAGTACAAGTTGCAGGCCCTGCCATCAAGAGAGTATCCAGGTCTTTCTCTCTCCATCTCCTTCTCTTTCTCTCACAACGGTCAAAGACAATTGCAAATACGCAGTGCACAAACTGGTCAGAACAGCTCACAGAATGGGTGAATGAGAATTAACTGTTGATGATGACATGTATAGTATTCTCAACTGGATTGGTCTGAGAAGTATTTCATGATGGGCAAAGTATTTTCACAAGCAAAATGAGAAATAGCGATTGTTTTAAAAAATAATTATAATAATAATAATAATAATAATGATTGGGGAAAACATAGAAAAGATATCGAATGTTGAAGTAGGGAGATTAATGTCTTTGTACTGACTGACATGCATGGCATTCCCTTTTGAAAAAGCAATGTAATACACTGTAAAGTTATATGTAATCCAATGTAATATAAAGAAGATTATGATGATAATAAAAA